TTGTTTTTTTTATTTAAGTACAATTAACACCTTTTGAAAATTGCCCTTAAATCATTCATCGCATTGGCAAAAAAAAAATTGTGAGCGAATGCCTGTTTCACCTGAATAAACAAACATTTATAACTGAGGTAGGTATACACCTTACTTTTGTCTATAGTTTAACTTCCCGGAAGAAGATCAAAACCAAACCCTTCTGGCTAAGGCCGGTGTCCCATATGCATCCGAATTCCGACGATACGAAAATCCGAAAGTGTTGCTATTGGTCAATATACATTCAAATTTTTACCGCTCATTTTCATCCGAAAATTTTAAAATTCATACGTTGTCGGAAAAAGTAGAAATAATTTTAACTTTTGTCCGAAATCGTATGTTTTTTAACCTCACTTTTTAAGTTTTTAACATACTATGATTGTTGTTTGATAGATTTACTGTCAAATAAATGTTATATTATAATGTCGAATGTAGAAAATATAATACTACGTATATTTCCTATGATATATACCTATGGTTGACATTTAAAAATGTCCCACCTTCATCTTGTAACAAATTCTATGGTTCTATACTTGATTTCTATGAGATTAATTTCGGATGCATGTGAATTATATAATCATTCGTATGAATTAAAATATTTTCGAATATCGTACGTCGGAATTCGGATGCATGGGACACCGGCCTAACGCTTCATTTAGATAAATGAAAAAAAGAGGCAAAAAAATTGTTTTAACTACGTATTTGGTGGAACAAATTAACAAAGTAGTTATCAAATAGTTGAGTAACAGATGTTGTTTATACCAACAGTTCTATAGATAAAATAAAATAATTGAAAAAAATCTCTACTAGCCTTATTTTAGAAACAAGGCCCAATCCAAAAACAATAGATAATTTCATGATCCACTTCCTCATTTCATTATACATGCATGACTCATGCTGTCTACTCACAACCAGAGGGCTTAATCATCCTACGAACCCAATCATGCCGTGTTCATCTACCTTTGTGTTTGGTGATATAATATTTTAAATTATTGGTAACGCGTCTTTTCCCTCACAAAGATGTGTTGAGAATTTAACAATAATAAAGATAAAAACTGTTACCTACCAGTTATTTTGGTGTTTTGTTAATTAAAGTACTATTTATTTTTCAGTTTATCCGAATGTTTGGATTCACACAGACTTAAACACAGGACAGACTTTTTTGTTAACAATGTGCTTAGGATTAGCAAAAGCTTAATAAAAAATGTTTCGGAAGCATACAAATTTATCCTCCAGAAAAACCGCAAATCATTTGTTCAATTACGAAATTCCAGATACGACTCAGGTAATTAAAGATTTCCCTATGTACTAGGGTTCCTATGAACTTGTTTGTATATCTATTGATGCGACTAAATAGGAAGCAGGAAGTTGCAGAGGAGACAAATATCTCTCTGTGAGCAAAACCGTTGGGAGACGTAAACAGTAACGGGTAATCTCGATAAAATCACTATGAGATTTTATTTTCTTCGTAGAATAGAAATAACATATAAAAACGTTTCGAAAATCATATATTTAGTACAAATAATCCGAAAAAAAACTCTTATTCTTCTTGTATACAATTCAGTTCAATTTACTAGCTATTTTTATACAGGGTGACTCAATAATTACAATTAGATCTTTAATCGTTGACCTGACAAAAATTTAAAATATTTATACAGGGTGTCCGTTAAAGAATGGGACAAACTTTACCATTAGATTCTACGACGGAAATTAATAGGGACAAGTCATATACAATGTTGCTCATAAACGCCTAGTTTTCGAGATACAGGGTGTTGAAGTTGAAAAAATAAATAACATTTTTAATAAATTTCGACTATTTCCAGCTAATTTCGTATACGAGGGTTATTTGGGTGAGGAATTCGAATTTATCAACGATTTTGTTGTATATTCTAGAGGGCGCCACAAGCAAACATTAGCACGTATTTAAACTACCAAAACATTTTTGTGCCATGATATATTTCACTTTGGGCTAGAAAAATCTTTTCCCCCCAACTTTTCTTCTTAAAAAAGGTATACCTTGCTAATATCAACCGTTTTCAACAAAAAGGCATTTAAAATAGTATAGTATAGGCCGTCATATTGAAATTACTAATTATGAGCTCCATAATCATAAAGGGCCTATTTTTGATAAGTAGCTTTAGAATTAAAGTTTATACAGTCCAAAGTTATTTTCAACTCCACTAATAAACATTGAAAAACATATCTTTTAAGACAGATCAAAAGTAATTAGATTTTTAAATCGTTTAGATTAGTTACATTGTTTAGATTGTGTTAGATTGATTAGATTGTTTTAAAAGTTTGTTTTTTATTTTGTCAATCCTGTTTGCAGTAAAATTGTTAAATAAACGAAATTTAAAATTGTAATTGCACTGTTTCTTTTAAAGGAATATTTCTCGCTAATAAACTATTACTCCTAATTTCGTTTATCAGTGTTGAAAATAATTTTTAAACAGATTTTTGTATGCATTTACAAATTTAAATGCCTTTTTGTTGAAAATGGTTGGCTTTAGAGATGCATATTTGCAAGGTATAACTTTTTTAAGCAGAAAAGTGAAATCTCGATTGAATACACGGTGGCACAAAAAAGTTTTGGCAGGTTAAATGCGTCCTAATGGCCACTTGTGGCGTGAAAATACAACAAAATCGTCAATAAATTCGAATTTCTCATCCCAAAAAATCCCCGGATACGAAATTTCGCGAAATTGGATCGAAGTAGTCGAATGATACTTTATGAGCAACATTGTATATGACTTTTCCGCATTAATTGTCGTCGTATAATCTAGTGGCAAAGTTTGGCCCATTTTTTATCGGACACTGCATAGCATATGTTTTTCAAATAACGTTTCTTCTTCAAGATACGGAAATAGTTGGGTACATTTTTTATATTTTATTTATTTATTTTTTTATGTATTGTAAAATACTATTTTACAGGGAAATATCAACATCGAGTTCAACATTTGGTGGTAAAAGTGAATCATCCTAGCTGCTTTATGTGACAAAAGTTAAGAGAGTCAAGTACAAAACAAAAACCAATAAATATTTTACTAAATATAGAATCGATTTCTGTTCTGTTAGCACATTTTTGCAAAATATGTTATCTAAAAGTAGGTATACGATATACATCTCTAAATACGACTAACAAACTTTTACAAAGTAAACTTGGTTAAAGTTGACACAAAAATTTTAAATTAAATAGGGGTCAATTTCAACTCCTTACGATGATATATCAACTAGATGATGACCATTTGACAATAGTTTTTTTTTTTAATATTCAGATGTACAGGGTGATTCACTATATTTTGACCTCTCCTTTAACTTTTTTGTTTTAAGAGTTATAAAAAAATGTTAAATATAAAAGTTGCACGAATTTTTATGAATTTTTCGAAAATGATAGAAGAAAAACAAATGAAGTCCAAACAAAATGGCCACGGATGTTAACTTTGTTAAGTTAAATGGAACACCCTGTATATTTTTACATATTTGGATAGAACCTTCCCTGTCGAGCATAGTCATGTAGGGTTTGTTGGGTCCATCGCTAACAATAAGCGAGATACTATTAAAAAAGGAAAAGAATGATTTTTTATTAAGAAAATAAGACATCTTGTAATTGTTAAACCTTTTTCAGGCATTTCTGACTTTTTCCAATTACGTGAGGATTTACAGATTTAGTTATAACATATTTTGACAGGTCGGACATTGATATGGTCCAAAATGCGTATAGGTATTGTAACTAAATCACACTAATTAGGCCGTGAGAGGCCTAATTACTCATGGACAATGTTATATGGTAGGCCGTGACAGTGACAGGTAATGTTATGACAACATTGTTATTGTTTGACAGTTTGTATTATTATTTATTTAAAATGGGTTATACAGAAATAGAAAATTGAAATATTGTAGGAATTAAAATAGAGCAAAGTTCTTCTTCATACTCTATTTTAATTCTAAATTCTACCTGTCACTGTCACGACCTACCATATAATGTCCATGAGTAATTAGACCCCTCACGGCCTAATTAGTGAGATTTCGTTACATTACCTATACGCATTTTGGACCGTATCAATGTCCGATCTGTCAAAATATATTATAATAACTAAATCTGTAAATCCTTACGTAATTGGAAAAAAGGCAGAAATGCCTGAAAGAGGTCTAACAATTACAAGATGTATTATTTTCTTAATGAAAAACCTTCTTTTCGTTTTTTAAAAGTATCTTGCTTATTGTTAGAGATGGACCCAACAAACCCTATATGGCTATGCTCTACAGGGAACGTTTTATCAGAATATGTAAAAATATACAGGGTGTTCCATTTAACTTATCAAAGTTAACATCCGCAGCCATTTTGTTTGGACTTCATTTGTTTTTCTACTATCATTTTTTAAAAATTCATAAAAAATCGTGCAACTTTTATATTTGACATTTTTTTATAACTCTTAAAACAAAAAAGTTAAAGGGGGGGTCAAAATATAGTGAATCACCCTGTACATTGGTACATGTTTTCGGCTATTGATGACTCATTTATACAGGACCAAAAAATGGCTAATCTATGGAACATATTTTTAATAATAATTTTGATAAAGAAAGTGTCTTTTTTTAAGGTTCCAGTGTTTTTTTCTGTAGCACGAAAGATTGATGGTAATAAAAAAAATTATTGCTCTTCCACGCGTACCTATTATTTTTTGTTAACTCCACAACTAAGAACTTGTTCCAAATTTAGCAGATATTTCAACTGGTTTAGAAGACGTTTTAAAAAAATAGTCAACAGGTCATCTCTAAGATGACATATCTCCGTAATAAAGACTTAGAAATAACTTCACTTGAAGTTTTTGTGTTAATTTTGGCCAAAGAACGCACTGTTAAAAATTGACAATCGAACTAAAGCACCCTGTATAACTTTCATTTGGAAATAATGAAAGCAAATTCAAATTCCAATGGAAAGTTTAAATTTCAATGGTAATGAGAAAACGTACCGTGTGGACGTCTCCAAATTTTCCAGTATTGGCCCTATCCAATGGCACATGATTTGAAGGATGATTGCCCATATTTATCACAAATAAATTACGAACCAGAGTGTGTACAATAAAACGTCATGTGTCCCGAAAACTAAACACAATTTAGCTCGTGCTTATGGAGCGAGCAGATGTGGTCCGATGAACAGATGCTTAGGGTGTCTCGCAGCACAAACCACTAATCACCATAGCCATCCCCATTCGCATCTAAAATACCTCTGGTCCGCTGTACGATGCAGAAGAATGCAGTTGCACCTTTATCAACTCACTCATGCAGACGTAAACTGGAATGGTTATTTGTGGAAAATGATAGGATAGGAGCTGTCGGAAATTTAAAAAACAACTTTTGTGTGAAGCTTATTCTTATACTGGATATTCGCATTTAAATGATTTTCCAATGGTCACAAACTTGACGACCTTGAGAATAAAGTTGAATCGAACTAGGATAAGATGACACTTTAACACTGGAATGACGAACCCGTTGGAATTTTTGCGCATAAAGATTGACCCTTTTTGAATAACAGTTTTTGCTGGTCTCGTGGTGACTTCAATAATACGTTAAGCGCCAACAACTGTACAGGGTGGAAAAAAGTTTAAATAAATATGATTGCGGCTTTCCCCGACTCATCCACAACGCGACCGCTGAAAAATGTAAAAAAACGAACGGAGTAAAATGAAATTAGGACACAGAACTACCGAATTTCGACGCCAACATTTCGGTTAAACCGGACGCGACACTAAACTGCTGACACTGTGCTTTGATCAGAGCTGGATGACGGTTAGAGGTATGTCGTATCCCCACACGAACCTCTACTACCGATCCTGAAAACGTCAGCACAGGTAAACGCACCTACGAGCTGCTTGCACCTTGAATTAGATGACTCTTAATTCACCAACACCGTAAACTTTTCTTAAACCTACGGCTGATCGTATTTTGGAAAAACTGCTATGTTTTGTCGGGCTATTAGCAACTTGTACCAATTATTGTTTTTTTTGCCAATAGATTTAAGGGGCAGTGACCTTTCTACAAGGTGATCAATATTAAATATTTTTTTCTTGAAAATTACTCGCATGGTATTAGATTGTTTAAATGTGGTAAAATGAAGATGTATTAGAAAAGCTTACAGAAAGTGGTTAAAAAGGTTTAAAAATAAAATTCTGAGAAGAAAATGTCCTCCGAGTGACAAACTATATGAGAAGGTAATTAAGAAATAGTTTCACGAATCTTTCACCTATATACAGGGAACCCGGAAGTGAATAGCCCTCCTTCAAGGGTAGCTTGGACGAAAATAATAATAATTTAGATCAAGTTACTAAATTTTGCTTCCGTAAAGAATTACAAGGACTTCAAACTCATTTTCTTTTAATAACTCAGTTTTTTAGATATTTTGATGAAATCAGACATTGTTGTCATAGTTTCTTTGTTTATAAAGAAATTTGAAAAAACAATCGTATACTTATACTTGTTGCATGTCACTTAAAACGCATTGTTTATCAGAAAAATGGGTGCGATAGCATTTACTATAAAATTATTTTTTTAATTTGTAGCTAAATTTGTATGTACTATTTGTATGTATGGTTTTATGTGTGTAAATTTTGTACGATTGGACTAATCACCCCCTATACAAATGAGATAATAGCCCAATAGATTATCGTCCAAAGCGATTTGTAAATTACATTTTTATTATTATTACTATTATTTTCCGGAGAATGCTTAATATCCTCATTTAAACATGCCATATTGCATCGCATTCTTATAGAATACGTAAAGTCGGTACAACTACCACTCAAACGTGTTGTCAACCCAACCATGGGGGACAAAAATATCCTAGGGCGATTACTGTGACTGTCACCATATTTCGACAGTATCCCAAACTATAGAAATGCCGAAATAGGTACAAGAATTTCTTTAATTTTTCTTTGTCAAAGATCACAGAAAACATAGAAATGGAAATATCAGAAAATGTACCTTTCCTGTTTTGTCAAGGATTTCGTAAAAATATTCAATAATGATTAATTCATGCATTAATAGTTTCAATACAAGCATTCTGCGGGGTGTGATTATGTTTATAGTACCGTATGCGATTTTCTATACAGAGGGAACCATAAATTAAAACGATATCCATCAACTCCGAGTTGCCATACATGTAAGCCATTTTTGACACTTGAAAAACTAATGTATACACTATCGCAAAAACGTTAGTACTAAAATCGGATTGCAGACTACAGACTAGAGACTACAGTAGCTCACAAACTTTTTTTACGGTATTTACTCCAGTTTTCATGACGCATTTATTCCATTTTTTTTTGATAAGTTGTGAATCATCCTGTAGATTCAACATGCGTGTAAAGTTCAGGAAATGTAATGATAAACATAAGATGTAAAAATATGCCTTTTTCCTTATTCTGAATGTTTTATCAGTTCGTAAATTGTCTTATGTATACTCTGTAGAAAACTTGTTTATACCTAACTGATACAGTGAAGAAATATTGTATCAAACTTGCTTAGATTTTCTAAAACTGCTATATACACCAGGAAAATTAGCGAAAATAAAAGAGAAACTCGAAAAAGTCCTATCCGCGAGATTATTGTAAAATTGTCTAAAGGAACATAATACAAGACATCTCTCATCTGGTGAGTCAAAAACTTTTATTAGCTAACTTTTCTATTTAAACAAATAAGTGAAGAAAACAGTTTTTTCACTTTGCAGGGAAAACCATCAATTTTAGCGAAAAGTGACTC